TTTCTCTCTGGAGATTTAGCTCTGTCTTTTGTTTGGTTTGACTTCTCATTGGAGTGGTCTGTTAAAGACATTTTGCCAAACTTCATGCTGGCCCTACCCCATTAAAATTTCATGGACCACAGCAGCAGCACAGAGACTTCTGTCCTTACAATCAGTTTTCCTCTGTCATGTTAGGAGAAGGAATTTGATGGTATGCTGCAGGTGTAGTCTGTTTTTTATTGCTCCTAGCTATGTCATTTAGCAAAGCTGACTTCATAGAAAGAAAAACAGACACTAGAAAGAACCACAGAAGCTTTGTAACTCAAATTCTGTGCTCTGAATTGGGATTGGGTATATCTGGATCATCCCCAATAGAGATCTGTCTAATTTATTTTTTAAAATAATCAAACCTGACTGGGACTCACAAGCTCCCCAGTAGATGTGCTCCAGTGATTAAGATGCTTATAATTGAAAAGTGTTCCTAATATCTGATCCATACATCCCTTATTAAAGTTTAAACCGATGTCCTGTCCTATCCCCGATAGGCACACAGGAAAATTGATCCTTATCCTCTTTTTAATACTTCAAATGCATTTGAAGAGTGGCAAATTGTCCCCTTCTCAATCTTCCTTTTTCCTAAGCTGAATCAGTCCTTCAACATTCCCTTCAACCTTTCCTTCCAAAGCAGTTTCTTCTGTATTTTCTCTAGTTTGCCTGTGTATTTCTTAGCATGTTCAGTCCACACTAAAACACAACTCGAGCTCGACTGAGGCCAGATAGAGACACCAATCCCTTCCAGTCTCAATTCACACCTGATATATGAGACTCTAGTTCAGCTCTCCTAGCTAACATTTGGGAGACAGAATAGAGAAAGGCACTTGGATACATTCTTGTAGAGGGAGAAGTAAAATCCTGCTGTATTTTGCTAACCCCACCTTGCTGGAAGCAACATTTTGGAGGCATTAGGTGGAGGATATAGATGAAACACTGCATCTCAGCTCCAGCACCAAAAAGATGAGAAACTAAAGAATATGTTGGAAGCTCAGTGGAAACTGCTGGTAAAGTAGCCAGTGCCTTCTAGTCAAACTGAACCAAGAGGTGAAAACAGCTCCATGTTGGAATTATCAGCACAGAGTCTGGAGGAACAGCTGGATCAAAACAGAAATACACTGGCATTGCTGAGAAGGTGTATATATGGGTTGGGGGTTAATGAGAGAAGGAAGAAAGGATTCCCCTTGGGAATATAAGGACTGCAGTCTGTTACCATCTGCTTATAGCAAGACACTTCTTCATTCTTCATTCATTCATTTCATTTTCATTCATTCATTTAAACGACTGTATGGTAAATAAAGAGATAAAACTACCATGCCAAATAAACAGTGTTTAACATGTTCCTATGGATTAGCTACCTTTTAATTAAGCAATTAAATGGCTTAGAAGCTGCTTCCTTTTCAGTGCTAGATTCACAGACTTGCTCCATATATTTCCTTCTGTATTCTGCTTTTGTTTGGACTCAGAGGTGGCCCCAGAGACCACAGCCAGGAACCAAGCTTTGGGTGCCATCAGAGGAAACTGGACTCCAGCCGGCAGTATGCTCTCTCTATGGCTCTCCCAGAAAGCTAGTTATACCTGGATCTATATTTCTCATTGAGAAGTAGATCACTAAATCCATAGCCAAAACCAGAAGGAGCAAAGGATATCAAAGATGAATGGAGATCACCTAGCACAGAAGGCAGATCTCTGCATAGAAAGCTTCCTGTCTGACAAATCAACTTAGACGGGGATCGACACGGTCTGTGACGATGGCTAACGCAGCACCAGGCCACACAGTTGTGTTCATTCACCTGCATAACCTGATGGTTTACTGCGGCAGGATTGAATGCGTGCAGGTTGCTGGAGCAGACTCTGACCCACTGGAGCGTAGACAGTGGCCTTACCAGAGGTGGCTTGCCTCTTTGGAAGGTCTGGAGCACATGCTGCAGCCACTCTGCTGCTGGAGATGTCTTTTGTCCCTTGCAATCTGTGAGACAATAGCTTTGTTTTTAGCAATGTTATTCTCCAAATGCTTTCAGAATACACAAAAAGTCCCAAATAAAGAGCCTCAAAGCTCTTTCCTGTGCGTGAGTCCATGGGTAGATTAGAGAGCTCTGTGTACAGAGTGGTTATCACTGTCTTGGATGATCCATTGGGAAAGAAGGCGTGAACAGCTTAAATGATGCACTCGAAGCCACAGAGTGAGGCAGTGGAGCAGACTGGAATAAAACACAAGTCCCCGAATACCCCAGCCTGCGTGGAGGATAGCTGCTGCTTGGGCTCAGAGCGTTTCCACAGCTTTGAATGAGAAGTGGTTTATTTATGTTGACACATAAAGATCAGAAGCATTCCCACAGGGAAAGGTAGAGAAAGTGGGTGCAACGTTTGCATGCTGCCAACGTGACATCCTCAGAATTAGCACGAGCAAGAGCTGCTGAAGCAGTTTTTTCTCTTCTCTCTGTGCTATAACAGTGACTTGTTACTTTTGTCCGCTGTCTGCTGGCAGCATGGAAGCTCTTGCCAAGGAGCGAGGCACAGCTGTGCATGCACAATCTGCTTTAAGCCTTAGCTGCCTCTGTGGGCAATGCACGCGGACCACCGTCCACGTGTAGCTCCACTGCATTCTCATTTTTGCTGCTGCTAAATAATGTACCATTTTCTTATCGGTTTTAACAGGGAAATGGAATAATTAGGATGGGAAATGGAAAAAAAAAGAACATCCTTTTCTGTAACTGCTGTGTGCTTGTAATGGGGAGGGTTCAGACTTCTTTCACTCAAGCAGCATGGAGATTTACTTCAGAATCTGCACTTACATCAGTGCTCAGATACGGCACAATGGCCTTAGAGACTACGCTGGAAAAAACAATACAGAAACCTACATGGAAAAGAACTGAAAAGATCAGAAACCAGTAACATAGAATCAAGGAAACTCCAAGTTCTGATATGACAACCACAGCAGAGTGAAAGACAGCACAGACAGAAGGTACAAATGGGTATGAAATCAAACACGTAGCAAAAAATATACAATATACTTGAAATAAAACTGCTTTTAAATCCTTTCACAAATGAAATAGGTGAGAATGCTGGAAAAAAAAAATGGGTCAGATCATCTTTTATTAATCAGGCATCATTCAGCATTCCTTGCCTTTTTAATGTGATAACTTCAAAATCCAGCTACGCCTGTTGATATTTGATGTAAATATTGACTCTTAAGTAATGTGTAGACCTACTTTATTACAAATTCAAGGGACAAGAACACAAGATGGTATTCCTTTTTTCTCTCTGTCCTGAGGAAACAACTGTCTTTGATTACCTTTCCAGTGCTGAGAGAGTTCAGTCATTTTTTACTCTCATTAAGCAGGACAGGCTGCCATTTCTTTCTAAATTGAAATAACAGGAAAGTACGAAAGACCCTTGTCTAGATGGATTAAAGAAACCTGATTTGTCCTTCATTACTGGCCTTAACTCCAGGAGCTGGCTATTGTTCAGCATTTCTGGTTATTTTAATCTCCTCCTGAAAGGCTTTACTAACTGTGTTCATTAAACTTCATCAGATGACTCACCATTTTGTTCCTGTGAGTCATTCACTCAGTTTTAAATCAGGAACACAATAGTTGCCATTTCACATTAGACTATATGTTCATGCAATAAAGCCTAGTTCTGATGGTAATTAGCACCTGATGCTTATGGAGAAGGTTTAAATGCTGTTTCACAACTCCTGCATGAATTGACTCCCAGAACACTGAATGGGAGTCGGGTTTTTTTAAATCAACAATGTATTTTCCATCATGCCTTCAATGTACCTACGCAACTTTACCATGCATGTGGGACTGTAAAAGCTTTTTAGATTATAGCAAGCCTGAGTTTAAGAACAGCCAACACTGGAATCTTGAAGGAAAACTCTATGAATGCAGAGTCACCTTACAGAGAAATAACTTTTTTAAAATCACAGAGTCTTGGCATGTGCCAGGCAATTTCACGCTGTCTCTTTAAGTAGCTGAAGAACATCAAGAGACCCTAAACAAATTAACTGCTTCCTGGGGAAAATCTTTCTGAATACTGTAAGGAGAATTTGATATCCAGTAATCCAGTATCTACTGATGGTCAACTGTTGTGTGGTGTTCACATGCAATAGGCAATGTGTTACCATGAAGGTGAAAAGAAACTTCTGGTTCATATCACCTGTGTTACTACTGTGAGTCACTTGAACTATGAAGCTCTCCTGAAATCCTGGAGTGGTGATTTGGCTGTTTTAGTGAAAGGCCATGTCTGCTTCTCTGTTGGAAAAAAACAGGCAGACAGGTGGCACACCTAGAGATCCACCCTCTCCATCATGACTCTAAAAACTATCCATTACCAGAAGTGTGATATTCAGCCCAGCCTTTATAGGCTCTGCAGCTCTCCAGGTGTGCTGCCCCACCAATCCAGTTGCTCCTGAAGAGCGAGGGAGGCATTTCAAATGGTGCACACTGCTGCAGCAAATCAGCATTCCCATTTTCCTTCTCTTCTGTTACCGAATGAATGTCTCGGTATCACATCAATAAACCCATCACCAGTTCTCCAACTCTAAGGTCACTGGTCTTCTTTAAATAATGATCAGGAGGGGACACTTCTGACCTGTACCATAATTAACATTTGCATTGCACAGGAGATTATTCTAAATCAGTCGGTATCTATAGGGAACATATAGGAGCTCTGTGGGCCTTGATTTCCTGCTTGTGAAATGGAAATGTCTTAAAATTTGGTTAGGGCAGGAGGCTGTGAGACTGCGGGTGGTGTGACCTAAAGCCACAACTGCACTTCACCGATCAGAGAATTCCTCTCCAATATTTATTAAGTGCTCCTGCACACTGGCACCAGCTTCTTGTTATTAACAAATGCCAACGTTTCATGCGCAAACACTCGAGGTCAGTGTATCCAAAGACACAAAATATGTGGTTTTCTCTTAAGCACAGTTAATATTCAGACACCAGAAAACAATCACTCACCATCTTGATGGTTACCTGAATCGGCTGGAGACTTGCTCCGGCGCATGGGGGCAGGGCTCTTTGCTGAGCTCTTCTGAGGGGTGGGAGATGACTTACTGCCCGTGGCGGCTGCAGGGCTGCCCTTCATCACCCGGCACTCTAAGGGAACAGAGAGCAGCCGTGGTTATGTCCCTGCCTGCGCTGGCTGCCGATGGACACCAGGTATGAAACGCCCATGGGCAGCTTAGTGCTTTGTCTCCAAAGAGCTGTAGTAAACATCAACGACAAGGAAAAAGCTGGAGTCTCCACATTTTCTCCAGAGCAGAAAGGAGACTTTTTTTTTTGGGGGGGGTGGGCAAAGAACAGCTTTGCTCCTCTGGAGGAGGTGCTGAGAATGTATGTCAAGATCAGGATGGCTCCCTGAGCAGGGCCTGTCTCCATACCTGTGTCCTACCAAAGATTTTGTGCCCTTCCCCTTGCCTTGGTTCTCACCAACTAGTGAGCACAATGAAAATGGTCAACACTGACAGAGGGAAGAATCAGGCCAAAAAATCAGTTCATTTGCTCTAACTCTTCCGTGAAGACCTAGTAGTAGGAATGACGAGAGCAATTTATGCAGGTGCGGAGAGCCAGCTAACAGCTCCTGGCATGATATAAAGGTCTCTAAGTGGCAGATGGGACATCTGCCCCAGGAGGTTTTCACTCAGCCTCAATCAACCTTCTCTGTGGTTTCAACAAGCTGCAACTTTTCAGAGGCAGAAAGCAAAGACGACAAAATGGTTTTACAAAACACGTCCTCTGTCCTGGCCCCTCATCCTTTTCAGAAAGGTTTGTATAAACAAGTCTAGTAGATTTATGTACTTAAAGACATGAGCAGATGAGAACCCCAACTATGTTTTCTTAAAAAATAAATAGGCCAGGAAGAGGGGAAAATGTAAACATGATCTACAGTGTCCTGCAGAAGAGAACCGAAATGCTAATAAACCTCTGTGTGTCCCAGGATTTCAGGCATGCCAGATCTTCAAACCCAGGGTTTATTTACATTGAGAGCTAACAGAAAAAGCACTTTCCACCCCTCGATTTATTAACTTAACCCAGTTAAGAAGGCGGCAATAAGAGGGGATTTCCTTTTTGTCAAACGCGAACTGGTCTCACCTCATCTCCTACAACAGATTGTCCTCACCATGATGTGAAAAACAAGTCTCTCTTACAGACGTGCATTAGGTGTTCCTCATAGAGACAGTTTTTTATGGAAAAGTTCAGCTTTTCATGCATGGGTTGGACTAAGGACTCCCTTGACTGAATTCTCTAATGGGAATCAACTAAGGCAGCACATAATGGGTAAATATTTGGTCAACCGAAAACAAGTTGTCTGACCTAAATATATGTGTTATTTATTTATATATCAGTATATCTATGAAAATGTAATTGCCTTAAATTTTTCCCCAGGCTTTCCTCATTCTCAGACAGTCAAGAGTCAGACTCTTCTCCTTCCAGACGGTTTGCGAGAGAGTTCGCTGTTGGGTCATGCAGTACAAGAACGTGAAGAGAGGATGCCCTGTGCTCCAGGGATCCTGCATGGTGATAATTAAACCTACAGTGAGTTTATCCTCTCTTCTGCTAAATGGATTTTTGAAACTGTAAATCAGGGATAGAAAAAGTTGTGTGGCTTCTTTTCAAAGGTAGTAGACTTCTCACAGATGATGCCACAGAAAGGTTTGTAGGGCTCCAGCACTGATATAGCCCCAATTTTTTGTACATGAAGAGCAGTAATGAATTGAGGGGGGGAGGTGGGGAAGGTAGACTATCCCTCCTCAATACTGAAGAATATAGTGTTTGATAAGATGCTGTGAAATAGCCACTAGGAAGAGTGTGTAAATCACTGCTCCTGGTGTTAACCAGCCAAGCCAAAACATGAGGAAAGATCATCTTCAGTCACTGTGGAAGTAGTATTTTTCAAGGCTCTTACATATAGCTGTTTAACGAAAACAGTGCAACATTTCGATCTCAGAGCGCGATTCGTTTGCCCAGCCATAGGCACCAAATGCTACATGAGATACACTAGAGTACAGCCTCCCCAGAGCAGAGGGAATCTTCTGGTGCCCCTGTGTGATATCTGTCAATCATATATCACGTGGGAATCTCAGAAACCAAGAGGGTCTACAAGGGTGTCAGATATCTATGTTTAATCGCGTGGATTACTCCCTAAAATATAAACCTAAAAAGTGAAAATACTTTATGTTGCGTCTTTTCAAGAGCTTTCAAATTTATTTTCTTTCCAGAGGATTAATTCCTTGAAAAGAAACTCAGCTTTGCATTTTCCAGCACAGAAAGGCTGACTCTGAGGAATTCCTCCAGCTCAGCCGTTGGCAAGTGTCAGTACACCAAAGGCAATCGCTGAGCATTTGCACGTCTTGAAACAAAGTTCTAAAGGTGGAAACCTGACTGTGCTTAAATTAGTGTAAACGGACCTCTGGACATCACAGGGGGCGTGACGTTTCCAGGGGCTGATGCTGAGACCAGTGGGCACGAATGAGATAGAGCAACGTCATCTGGAAGGTGCTCAGCAACAGGGATTACAGGGCGGAAGGTGTAGTGGGCGGTCAGGAGGAAAAAGATGACATCATTCTCTCTTGTGCTATTTCTCATTTTGTTTCCTGATGTCCTGCCAGAGTGAACATAATAACCAGCAATCCGAGTGCGTGTCATCCAAACAGGCAAGAAAAAGTAGCCCACGACAGAGGAGATTTTAATAAGTGACGTTCACCTGCAAGACCTCAGGACTCACAGTTCTCCTTGCGGCATCTGACTCCTAACCAGGAAGGATGATGGGTGTATAATGGGAAAACGCTGCTGGCTAATAGCTCCTCATCTGCTTCTCGAGAGGTACAGGGCACCCCTGCTCCCCAAAAAATACCCCTGAGAGCTGCAGTTCCTTGGTGCTTTCCCAACAGCAGGCTTGGCTTGTTTTTGTTAGAGAAATCCAAGCTGGAAAAATCAGTAGTAACCAAGGAGTGCAGGCAGAGAGCTGGGCTTCCCATCAAGTTGTTCTGCTAGGATTGCATCCAAACTGTTTTACAGTGTGGAACTCCCCATGGAGCTGATTCAACTGCTGAGTGTTAAAAAAAATATGAAGCTCAGGTTACAGATCGCTTCCCCAGCCTGACACAGGCTTTATTCTCTGCCTGCAAAGTTTCAGCTGAATCTTGGAAACTTTCTTTGAATTACCCAAGAGCATCAAATGGGTTCATCTGGAGTACACAGGTCAGAAGTACCAGCATCAAATAAAATCAGGCTTGCAAAGGAGTCATAAAAATACAGTGTTTGAAGATTAGAGGCTGCTTGACTTCCTGACATACAGCAAAAGTCCTCTTTGGTCTCCAATGCCAAGCCAGCTTGTAGCATATAAGTCAGCAAGGGGCTCCTGTTCCTTGTGCAGGATACCTAGAGCTTTGGGAAATGAGCCTGGATGTTTGGAGACCACATTTTCTTCTGGTTTAAATGGTCACAGTTACGTTAATTTACTCTTGCTGCACTCGCTGCCCCCAGCAGACAGCCTGTGCTGTTGGGGTGTACAGTTGCCAGGTGGGGTAGGTGGTAACTCCTACAAGGAAGCTCTGCATACTCTGTGAAATCAAAGATTTCACGGCTTAATTGATCACAGAGACTCACATTATTACAAATCTGTGCTTGCAGCTGTAACAGAGACAAATAATAGTGCTGTCCCATCTCCCCCAAACAAAGAATTAATGCTCTGCTTTTTGAATCAGCAGAAGAAAGCAGTGGAGGGAGTGATTTTTCTTTTAACTATGCTTGTTCCCACTTTTTAATATTCATGTGTGTATTCAAGGACAAGAGTCCTTCTGTTTCATTCTGAAGAAAAATGTATCTATCTGACTGCAACTGGATAAAATGGAAAGATTTTGCAGTAAACGTCAAACGGTGTAGGAGCCCATCTATTCTGACTTGGACTACCTCAGTCAGTATTTGCCTGATCGTAATATCTGTACAAGTAGCACAAAAAGATGTTAAATTCCATGTACAAAGTCTTAAAAACAGAACAGAAGCATGCAGCATTATTATCTGATACAAGCAACCAAATGGAAACGAAATAAAAACACAGACTGGAGAGCAGTGTTACCGCTTTCATCCAGAGAAAAGTCATCCTGTGCGTAGCGGAATTTTTCTGGACCGCAGGCGATAAACACATCATCATCCCCAAAGAAATCGTGGAGACAGGTCACCTACAGAGAGAGCAAAGTCATTCATTTTATTTTTAATTGGCAACATTCTGATGTGGCTTAGTTTTAATTTAAACAGGAGGGAGCTGCCTCTCCCCTGTTCCCCCTTCCCATGCTGACTCAGTCCCACTTCCCGTAAGCCTGGTGCACAACACACAACTGCTCTGGGCAAGTCAAGTGTAAAAGTGTAATTAAAAAAAGAGGAAAAAAAAAAAAATCCCAACTACCTTGCAAATTCTATGAGATATGGCACTTCCAATCCACTTAGGAGCTGACAGAATACATTAGTCACCCTAAAGAACGACACAGGTGTTCCTGAGCGACTTCTAAAATAAGAAGCAGGGGTGCCCCCGTGCCACGTCGGCGGGCAAGGCTGTGACACCACCACCCATCCTGGTCAGTGTCTTCATACCAACAGAGCCTGAACTCAAAGAACCATGAAGGAGGCAAAGAGCTGCTTTGGGGCACAGCACAGGTGCAGAAACATGACTCTTCCTGAGCAGGCAATCTCAGTGGTAGATTTTAAAGCCAAAAAGTTTATCTGCGCCATTTGGGAGAAGCCCAAAGTATCATTGGATGCCCTTCCCACCCAAACGTCATTTAGAGCCACAGATTTACTCCAGATGTTGTGTCTCCTTCTCCCGGCTTTTGCCACCCAGAGGTGGGATGATAAAGCACTGCTCCTCACTGCAGAGCTGCCCATCCCACAGAAGGCTGAGTGGTGGGGAAGGAGGATACCCAGCGGGAAAGGCACAAGCCAGGGGAGGGGAGGTGTGTGGCAGCCAGGCGTGGGAGCTCTGCCCTAGGGCAGCTCTGCGGGCTAAAGAAAAGCAATAGCTTTCAGTCATCTAAAACTAAGACCCCTGTCAGGGGACACCACAAAAGCAGGATGTAGAAAGCTGTTTGAGATAAACAGAAGACGGGGTCACGCTGGCTAATGGCTCGGAATACCTTGCGTCTCTTTTTTTGCCACCCTAAATAGGGGGAAACTGTGTCTTGCAGCACCTGAAGCTCCAGACCCATGCCTTGCCTTGCAGTATCAAACAGAAGCAATGCACAAGATGTGGGAGCTCCAGATCCACTGATTTCATCAGAGATCTGGTATGTGACAGTTTGGGAATCTGAAAACGCTTGGCAGGTCGCTAGAGGCATGCTAGCAGGAGAAAAGTCTAAAACGCCATCGCACTGGGAGCTAGTGCCCGTGTTCAACAGGCAGAGATCTGGAACTCTCCCTGCTACTCCACAGATGATGAACTTGTTCTTTTAACAATATTTTTAACAAAATCTAGAGGTTAACAGCCAAGATTTATCACAAAAGACAAGCAAAATACCTGATTAGGTACAGGAACAAGGAAAATGAAGGAAGTTATAAAGATTTTGAAAAGCACGTCCTAGCAATAAATCTTATTCAAAGGGTGGGCTGACGTTTGGGACACAAGCGTGTATCAGTCCTTGTCTTCCGTCCTCCTGCTTCTCCATAATTAGCTGGGAGATGAAGTATAGGATGAAATTACCATTTGCCACTGTCCTCCCAGCTGGCTGAGGAATGTCATCTCACTGACTGGTTGACACCTTAGCTCTCTATACAGCTAGAGGGCCCTGTGTAATCTTTTTCCCATAGTGTCAGGAATTACAAACTCACTAGGAATATCCAAGTGACCTGGGACAATACTGATGCCCATGATTGGCTCCTACTCTTTTTCTGCAATATAATATACATGAAGGCATTGTTCCTGGGTTATTATATTTTAGTTTGTTTGAAATAAGACTCAGATTTCTTATGTCATGTTAGGAAACATGACATATCATGGGGGTCGGTCTCTTCTCCCACGTTATGAATGACAGGACGAGAGGGAATGGCCTCAAGTTACAGCAGGGGAAATTTAGGTTAGCTATCAGGAAGAATTTCTTTACAGAGAGGGTTGTGAAGTATTGGAACAGGCTGCCCAGGGAGGTGGTGGAGTCCCCATCCCTGGAGGTGTTTAAAAACCGTGTGGATTTGGTGTTGAGCAACATGGTTTAGGGACCCTGACAGCGCAGGGTGAATGGTTGGACTCGATGATCTTGAAGGTCTCTTCCAACCAGATGATTCTATGATTCTATGAAACGTTCTTGTGGAGCACGCAGGTACATGGAATGGATATTCTCTAGGCCTCTTGGCTACAGACTTACACAGTTACAGTTTTGGAAATTTCCACAGTTACCAGTGAAATAGTTGATGTGATTAAACAGCAACAGCAAGGTTAACTCTGCCAATGGTAACTCTGCTGGAACCAGGGGTGATCACACAGTAACTCATGATAATGCTACTGTGTTATCTTCATGTACCTAATGTTAATCTGAATCATCTTAGTGCAACAGCTCATGGAAAATGTGCACATCATTGCTCTTTGGAGAGACCCATAAACACCCAGACTTGTCATCAGTATCCTGTAGAAAATTGCCTTTTATTCATGCTCCTGGCAAGCTGATAGGAGCTCTTCTGAGGCAAAGGAAGATGATGCTCTTCCACCTTCAGAAAATGCTTTGAAAAGTTGTATGAAGTGGAAAGTAGCACTTTTATTTTGAAGAGGAGAAAAACACTACTGAGAAAGGAAGTTGGAAGGCCCAACTTCAAAACCTTTTCGTTGCTATTCAAGAGGCAAGCATTCAGCCCAGCGCTTGCCTCCAAGGGCTGGAGGGACAACAAAGTACCTCTATTCAATTGACTTTGTCTAGAACTTCAGCCTGAGCTCCTGACATCCCAGCCATAGACCAAGTACTGTGTCATGAGGAGAAGAAACGCTCACCTGCAAACACACCAGAGAGGAATGTCTCCAGCATCAGCCAGCCTGGTGCAGCCCACCAGCCACACATCTGAGCTGCTGGGTGAGCCCAGGGTAAACATGGTGTTTTTAAAGTTCTGTTATTTTTCAGGAGACCATTCCAAGCAACCGCAAGACTGGCACTGACGTTTATAATGGAGGTATCGGGCTGACAGCTGGTGCCCAGTGTTTTGGTGTGTCGGGGCACCGGGGTCTTTACAGAGAGTAGATACATTGTGAGGGATTGGAGAGAGCACTGGAGATAACCGTGGGGAAACTTACTGTAGACAGAGCTGAATTTCCGTATCTACTGATCTCTTTGAGCCGGACTGTGAAAAGTTAATTTCAAGCTCTAATAAATCAACTATAAAGAAGGCTTTTGGCTATCTTAATAAGGCTCAGTATTTCACACTGGTTAATATAATGTATAATTAAAGCACTGCCTGAGAGTGCCAGCGCTGGTTAAGATGCCAAACATTAGTGAAAAGCTTGCTTTTCACATCAGCATGACTTTCAAAACGAAGCAAGCAGAAATCTGCTGTGGCTTTGATCAAAGGTAGAATTTTCTTTGCAAATTTCAGTGAATTCCACTTTCTCTTTGCCTAAAATTAGGTTGAAAAATAGTTAACATGTTACCCATAGAGAATCCTCCTACAGAAAAGATGACATTTGTAGCCAGCACTTGGTACTACAGTCTTGCCCCTGAGGATGCACAGCACTGATTCATTTGCAAATAATTGGGTTTGGCTCAACACAAGTTCCCATTTGAATGCCAAGTACTACACTTATGCCATGGAAAAGATTCATGGCTTGCTTAGCTCGCCCTTCCGTACAGAAACCACTGCCCAGTTAAACGTAGAGCAAAGCTAGATCACAACATAAGGGTTCAAAAATTACCCAGCCTTTTAGATGAAATCAGAAAGGGCCCACAAATGCTTTTATTGTTTCCAGGTCATAAGTCAGAGTGTATGTTTTGTCCTTGACCTTGAACTCCCCACAACACCACAAGCAAAAAGAAAGTCCAGGCAACCAAGAAAGCCTTCAGATCAACGTGACGGAAAACTACCAACACGCACAAAGATGGAAACCTGATGACATGTCCAAGAAGAGGACTTGCAACTCACTTTGCTGCATTCTTGTCCCTTCGGATAGCAGGTTATTGTGTGTATTTCATAACTGTGAGCAGCTGGCTGCATGAGTACTGGAGGCTGGTAAAGAAATTAGATAATCGACTTGTTGAGCTCCTAATATTCAGGAAACAATAACTTCTGGTTTTGGTTCATTTGTTCCCTTTTGTTTCCTGCTGTAACTTCCACTATTAAAAACTCACCACGACATGGTAGAAAAGACAGCCAAAACCCAACCCCACTCTCATAAAATAGCGCAAAACATTGCTCAATTCAGAAAATAACAGGTGTCACATATTATGCAGTCGTAGCTACACTGCTTATGTTCACCACGTGTGTGGTATTATCAGTTTACTTCCTGTTTATTAAACTTTAATCCTAGATCATTACTGTACGTCCCTGAAACATGCCCCATATGTTTTGCTGTCTACACAAAGTCGCTGGAGCAAACTTCCTTTGGGAAAACATGCGACTGAAGTGCTGGGTCCCACAGCACCAGAGCCAGCTTGCCTAAGTGGTGCATAGGGAAAAAACCACCAGGAGAAAGTCCTAGATATGCTCATCCCTGAAGGACGTGAAGCTAAAGAGGACACAAGGTGGGAAGCGGGACCGTGGGCTGCTCCGCTGGGATAGCTGGTTCAAGCCCTTACTAGCCAGTATGGAACCTTTCAGGGTTGTTTTGACATGCAAGGCCAAATCTCTACCCTGCATTAATTGTTTTTAGTGACTCCAGAATAACCTTATTAGTCTCCTTGTCTCTGTCTTTCAAAAGTCTTTTTTTCTCATGTTTTCTCAATTAAAAAAAAAAAAAAAATAGTACGAGTCTCCCCTCAGGCAGTCTGGACTGTTTTGAAAGTGTATCTTCTGCTTTAGCTTACTCTAATCTACTATTCTAATTATATCCAATAATTAGTCTGGAACACCATGAAAACCCTGAAAGAAGGTTCGCATTAACAAAAATTTACCCTGGCTGATAACGTGAAAATCACTGTTTTTAAATGCTGCATTTTGCTCCTAGCTATAATTTTATTAAAGCCCAAGACAGAAACCAATAGTAGCCTGTCGGTAGTAG